ATGTACCGTCCTGTTCTCTCTCGTGTTCTCGCCTCTCTTGTTGCTCACCCTCGTGTCTCTGTGTCCTCTGTGTCCGCTCTTACTGCCGCGGTTACTGACTTTGCCTCTACCCGCCGCCTTGACTACGCCACCACGCTTGTGACTGCTCCTCCTACCAGTCCTCTGGTCGTCGGGGGTGTGTCTGCCCTTGGCTGTGACGCCCTAGAGGACAGGCAGTTTGAGCTAGAGTTCCTGGCGGCCGCTTCCCCTCATCTCTGTGCCATGCTCCTCGCCCCTGAGGGTGACCCCGACGCCCTTGACATTCCGACTCCTCGCACTTACGCTGAGGCAGTGTCAGGGCCTTGGGCCTCTCAGTGGAGAGCTGCCATGGACGCAGAGTTGGCCTCCTACAGATCCACAGGCACCTACGTCGATGAGGTTCCCCCCCCTGGGGCGAACGTAGTCGACGGCATGTGGATCTACAGGGTGAAGCGGCCACCGGGATCTCCCCCGGTCTTCAAGGCGCGCTACGTGGCTAGAGGTTTCAGTCAGCGCGAGGGAGTTGACTTCTTTCAGACCTTCGCACCTACCCCGAAGATGACCACTCTTCGGGTGTTACTACACGTAGCAGCACAGAGAGACTACGAGTTACACTCTCTCGACTTCTCCACTGCTTTCCTTCAGGGCAGCCTACACGAGGAGGTCTGGTTGCGTCGTCCCTCGGCCTTCACTGGCACTTTCCCTCCTGGGACCCAGTGGAGGCTGAGGCGACCTGTTTACGGTCTTCGCCAGGCCCCTCGTGAGTGGCACGACACTCTGCGTTCTACCCTCTCTGACCTTGGGTTCCAGCCGTCTTCTGCCGACCCGTCGCTGTTCGTTCGTCGTGGCTCCACACCGTTCTTTGTTCTGGTCTACGTCGACGACCTCGTTTTCGCCACTTCGGACAGGGTTGCTTTGGCAGACGTGAAGTCCGAACTGCAGAAGAGACACACGTGCACTGATCTTGGTGAGCTGCGCCACTACCTTGGCCTGCAGATCACCAGGGACAGAGCCGCTCGCACCATTACACTCTCACAGTCACACATGGTGCAGCAGGTCCTTCAGCGGTTCGGGCTTCAGCACTCCACCGTACAGCACACACCTCTCGCTGTTGACCACAGACTCACTGGTCCCTTTCCTGACGAGCCGTTTGAGCCTAGTGGTCCCTACGCAGAGCTTGTGGGTTGCCTCATGTACCTGATGACTTGTACTCGCCCGGACCTCGCCTTCCCTCTCAGCATCCTTGCGCGCTTTGTTGCGCCAGGGAGACACCGTCCTGTTCACTGGACGGCAGCTGTGAGGGTGGCGAAGTACCTAGCGACTACATCAGGCGTGGGGCTAGTTCTTGGAGGGCAGCAGTCTGTCGTACTCACTGGTCACTGTGACTCCTCTTACGCTGACGACGCTGAGACTCACAAGTCTACTCAGGGGTACTGTTTCAGTCTGGGTTCTGGAGCTGTTTCCTGGCGTTCCACGCGCTCCTCTTCTGTCTCGACCTCTACAGCTGAGGCTGAGATTTACGCTGGTGCCATGGCGGCACAGGAGTTGCGGTGGTTGACCTTCTTGCTCGCCGACCTTGGTGAGCGGCCGAGCTCTGCACCGACCTTGTTTACTGACAACAAGGCGTCGATCCTCCTCTGTCGTGAGCCGCGACTGGAGAGCAGAGTGAAGCACATTCACGTCAGGTACTTTCTTCTGCGAGAGTTGCAGAGGCGTGGACAGGCTCGCTTCGAGTTTGTAGAGTCCAAGGCCAACACTGCAGACATCTTCACCAAGGCGCTTCCGCCTTGTGACCACCAGAGGTGTTGTGTGCAGTTAGGCCTTGTTGACACAGGTTCTAGTCATGCGTAGACTTGAGTTTATTGTCTGCTTCGTCTGTACACTTACTATATATACTTGTGATCTCTTGGACTGGCCTTGTGGCCACTGTTGCTTGTGCTCAGAGTGTGTGGTGACGTTGTGATCCACCCTGAGCTTTGTTTTCTTTTGGACTGGTCTTGTGACCGTACTCTTTTTTGTTTTTGCTAGACACCCCTCACTTAGGCTATGGGGGTGTGTCAAATGTTGTAGCCTGTAGTGAGGTTTGTCTTAGGGGGTACAGAAGTTAGGGTTTGTTATATGTACCCCAACCAACATCAATGCCACATCCATTCCTCATTCTGACAAGCCGTTACCTCTGGCAACAACGTGGGTAGGAAGGGCGGCAAGAAAGGAGGAGGTGGTGGTGGCGGTGGGAGTGGCGGTGGGGGTGGTGGTGGAGGAGGTGGATGTTGGAGTAGGCTAGAGCTCGCTCTAGCATTTATCATGGTGTCCTTTTGTTATATTGTCATGTTTAGAGCGAGTTACACTTTCGGTTCATTTCTTAGTTTCTAGCACAAACTGAACACACCCTAAGTTCAATTAGGGTTTCCTACATTTGTATCTCGGCACTTTGCTAGTGAATTCTTCTCTCTCACCTCTCAATGGCCATGGCTATCCTAAGGCCTATTTTAACATGGTATCTAGAGCTACATCCTAGGCGTTTCTTCCCCATTTATAGCTTTTAGTAATTTCGATCTCTAAGCATAGTTCCCGTCACTAATTACCTAGCCGATTTTTCTTTCTTTCCTCTTTTTCTTTACCTTTTTTTTTAGTCGTTTTGAGACGAATCTGCCCTAAGCAGCCGCGCGTCGCTCTCCTATCGTCGCGCGCGCCCTACCCCGCTCTGTCGCGCGCCCTTCCCCGCCTCTTCGCGGTCGCGCGCGCGCACGCCTTGCCCCGCCTCGTTGCGCGCGCGTACCCTGGCCACCGCCGTCATGTGTGCGTGCTCTGCCCGTCGCCATCGCGCTGGTCGCTCTCCCTCGCCACCTTCACCTTCTCCGCCCACCCACCCTATCTGCCTTTTTCACCCTCCTCCTCCTCTCTTCTCTCCTCCCTCCCCTTCTTCCCTCTCCTCCCTTCCTGCACCTCCTTTCCTTCCGCATCTGCTGCAGCTGGCTGCTGGTTGCTGGTTGCCACGACGTGAATGTACTCCTACCTCCTTCCCCCCAATCCGCCCCTTCACTCTCCTCCTCCTCTCTTCTCTCCTCCCTCCCTTTCTTCTCTCTCCTCCCTTCCTCCACCTCCTGTTTTTCCGCATCTGCTGCAGCAGGCTGCTGATTGCTGGTTACGACTAGGTGATCGTGCTCGTACCTCCTCCCCTCAATCCGCCCCCTCATTGTCCTCCTCCTCTCTTCTCTCCCTATATTTCCCCTGCCATTTCACCCCTTCCTCCGCCTCTCTCCTCTACTTATCTGCTGCAGCTGGTAGCTGACTATGTGTTGTTGCCAATTTTGATTCCACACTTTTCCTCCGCCTCTAATTTCTCCCCCCCAGCAGCGCAGCAGCAGCCAACTCCGCCATTATTCCTCCGCCTCTATTTTCTCCCCTCAGTGGCGCAGCAGCAGACTACTCCGCCGTTATCCCTCCTCTTATTTCTCCCCTCAACGGCTCAACAGCAGACTAATCTGCCGTTATCCCTCCTCTTATTTCTCCCCTCAACGGCTCAGCAGCTGACTACCTCGCCTCTATTCCCCCTCCCCTTTTATCTCCCCACATCTGCTCCATTGCTATCCCCTTCCCCAGATGGTGCAGCCTCCCACTTGCCGGTGGGTTGGCACTGTGCGGCTGCCCACTGTAACTGTTACGGGGTATTTTACTGTTCAAGGGTGGTTTATCCTAAACAGTGCCCCCAACCCAATCCCAACCTTATCTTCATCCAATCCCTTTGGGATTCCCCAGATTTCCTTGTGCCACGTGGCACTCTACTCTTCTAGCTTTCCAAATCCTAGTCCCACAAACTGCTTTCCAACATTCTCTCTTGTTCGCTATATAAACCTCTCTTGTACTTGCCAATATCAATCCATTCTCAACCAATTCTCATTCTTCAATTACTTAGTAACTTCTTAGCCTACTTCATCAATAGTTCTTTCGCCAACGCCGCGCTTTCATCCTCGACTTAGGCCAGCGGGCCTAACAGTAACAGTGGGTTGCCGCACTGTTGCAAACAAGGCCATTGTCCTTCTTGTTCAATCAGAGAGAAGCATTTTCTTGCTACACCCTAATGCTCACTCAACCGCCCACTCTGAACACGCCCGCTGCCACTCCATACGCCCAGTGGTCGACATTCACAGCCAACGGCCCCCGCGTTACTAGCCCACGACAAAACCAAGATGTTCGAGTTTCCCAGACAAAACACGCTGGGCTACCCACAATTTCCTCAACTGTAGTTTTTTTGTCAACCTTTGTTCTACATTCAGTCCCATTTTGCCCCTAGTGAACGCATGCTCGAGAGAGGAGCACAGGGAAAGATGGGGAAGGGGACTGAAATGGGCATCATGTGTAGTGGGGTAGTGACAAAATATGCCAGGTGACTTTTTCTTGGAGACTGTCCCTGCATGTTCTAGAAAATGTCTTATTTTCACGCGCTGCGCAATCGATTACACCGCTCGCACAGTAGCGACTCGTTGTCGCTGTCCTGCAGCGGCAAACGCGCGATCCAAAATATAGTGTTTCGAGGTGAGTTCAATAGTAGCCGTCGTGCGGTACTAGTACTACGTGCGTGCTTCGGAAGTTCGAATGGCGCCATCTTGAATCCCGCCCTCGCACCCTCTGCCACATGTGGCAACACACTCACATACGTGCGCATCGCTATCCAACTCCCTTGCACCGCAGCCGCATCACGATACGATGCATGCTGAACCCATCGCTTTCCTTACCCACCGCTACGTCAACCTACCCTGTTCCCCACTCCAACCCAATTGATTTGCACCGCTGCTCCGTTTCCCCGTTTAAGCCAGAGGGAAGAAGAGGGAGGTCGCGGCAGTGACGTGAGGTGTCATCCCGCCCGTGTGCCTTGCTGGAACCTGAGTCCTGATGTTACACATCCATCCACCCCTCCTGCACGTGCCACTCCACACTCAACTGCCCACCGTTGGCAGACTCTGTCCGGGCTGGCGTCGGTGATGGGCAAGCCCAGGGGCCACGGCAACTGGACGTGGGACAGGTGCCTCACGGAGCAGCGATGGGCCACCTATCTCAACAACACCGGCTACTCCCGACCCGGCAACACGGGCGCCATGGTGTGCCTCTTCGTCACAGATGCAGAGAGGTCAGTGCAGTGGTCCCCGCTAGTGCACAGTCACTCCACTCTCCTCCATCCCCTTCCACCCTCCTTCACCCCAAGCACCCACCGTTTGACTCCGTTTCTCCAAGCACATCCATACACTCCCGCGTCTGCTCCCGCCGTCACCCATGCCCCCCGTTCAAACCCACCAAAGCTCCTGGTCTCCTTCCATGTGCTTGCCACCGCCCGGTGCACTCCTTCCCTCTGCGGTGCGCAGGCCTGCCTTTGAGAGGTTCTACGGCGGCCCCATTCTCGACTTCACCTTGTCGCCGCGGCAGCAGCAGCCTCTATACTGCCCCAGGCTGCTTGAGGTGCACTCGTACTAGAAACCCCATCTGCTCGTCGACCTCATGCAGCGTGGCGGTGACGAGCTCGCATTCCTACGCAGGACAGGGGAAATCATCTTCAGCCGTGTCATGCCTGTCGGAAACCTCTCCCTCAAACTCACCGGATTCAGTCAGTACCCTACCCCCCCCCCCTACCCTCGTCGGCACGTCCCATTTCTCGGCGTTACAATCTTCTCCTTGCTCCCTTCCATTTAATCTCACTGTATTTCACCTCTCGCCCACATGCCTGGTTGCATCCCTGTGAGCAGCCATCGGAGTGCCCATCTTGCAGCATGCGCTGCCACCGAATCCCACGGAGCAGCAGGCGGAGAAGGTGGTGCTTGGAGCAGTTGGGGCGAATGTGGATGTCGTGATGATCGCCTGCCACGTGCTGCAAAACCTATTCACGCCAGGTGCTGTGCTGCTCTGTTCACGCCGGGTGATGTGCTGCTCTGTTCACGCCAGGTGCTGTGCTGCTCTGTTAACGCCAGGTGCTGCAGAACGTGTTTACCTCCCGTTCTGCTGCACCCCCCACGTTGCGCCTCGAAGCACGTACATGTTAACAACTTTCCACCAACCATAGGAGCAGTTTTTGGCTTCCACTTTGTACCTTTTTCACGAACCCTTTCGCTTTGCTTTCTTGCCATCTCTCCATAAGGCCTTTTCCCTTATGCTTTTCCTTACTTTTTATATCCCGCAATAGCCCCCTGCTTGCTCCCCGCATCCCCCCGCATGCCCCGTCCATGCACCCTTCCGTGTCTTACATGCCTTGCTATCCCCCCTGCACGTCCCTCGCATCGCATGTCCCTGCCATCCCCCAGACCCCAGCATCACATTCGAGGTGTATGATACCACGGACCCCCGCGGCCTCACAATGATCTACGGCCCGGGCCCACGCCTCGTCTTCTACCGTGAGCGTGACATTCTTCCCATTACGGACGTCTCACCTGAGAATGTTACGCGCCCGTGGGAGGAGCGCTCTGTCGTGCCGCTCGACCTGCTTGGGGGCCGCCTGCGGCGCTACCAAGTGTGGTGCCGGTGAGTGTGCTGTGTGGTGTGGTGCCGGTGAGTGTGCTGTGTGGTGTGGTGCCGGTGAGTGTGCTGTGTGGTGTGGTGCCGGTGAGTGTGCTGTGTGGTGTGGTGCCGGTGAGTGTGCTGTATGGCGTCCCTAGTAAATGTAACCACTAGCCTTTCTCCACGTGTTTGCCTTGCCCTAAACCCACAGCCAGCTTGTTGCTCCAGCTAGGCCGTTTTCTCCTTCCTCCATATAACGGTTCTGTGCCTGATGGGCTCTTCAAAACGTCTTGGTTTGTGCGTGCCGCCCCCCAGCTATGTGGAGGCTCCAAGCGCGTGGCTCTCCTGGGGCGTGCCTTTCCTCTGGGCGGCTCTCGCTCTCATGGTAACGGCTCTGGTGGTGGCGGTGGCGTGGCAGCAGCGGGTGGGGTACGTGCGCAGCGAGGAGAGCATGGCAGCGGCGGACCAGCTGAGAGGGAAGGCGCGGGCAGCGGAGCGGTCGAAGAGCTCGTTTGTGGCGTCCATGTCGCACAAGCTGCGCACGCCCATGCTCAGCATCGTGGGGCTGCTTGATGCTATTGGGGACCGCGGGCTTTCTGCCACGCAGCTGGCAGATGTGGATGCGGCGCGCGCTGCCGCGTACGACACGGTGTGGCTCGTCAACCGCGTGCTCGACCTCTCCAAGCTCGAGGCGCGCCGCATGCCGCTCTGCTGCTCGTCCTTCCACCCGCGCGCGTGGCTGGAGGAGGTCGTGCTGGGCTGCTGTGGGCTGGCACGGGACAAGGGCATCGAGGGTGAGCGCGTGTGCAGGGGAGGAGGGGGGAGCGGGTGCTGGGTGGAAATTGGGACCGGGTTTGTTTGAGTGCGCAACAAAAGGCACGGCTGTTTGTCTTGGATCAGGGTGGGGGGGGGCGGGGGGAAGAGGCAACTTTTCTGAGGTCGCATCGTCTCGTCTCATACTTGCGCTTTCGGGCGCTCCACTCCTTTGTGGTTGTGGTGTCACTGTGGTGTGGACCGTGTGGCAGTGTGTTCGACTCACCATATCCCTCTCCTCTTATTTTACTGGCTGTGGTGTGACTGTGCTGTAACGGTCCTGTGACTGTGCTGTGACGGTGCTGATGGTGGCGTGGCAGTGGCGGGCATGGTGGATGTGGGAGTGCCTGCAGTGTTGCACATGGACACCATGCGACTCACTCAGGCGCTCAACGAACTCATAGGTCGGTCCACCAACACAAACCAACCCTCCAACTCCCACATTCCCCCTTCCCCTTTCCCGCCTGTCCTTCCCCATGACTACAAATGCTCTCATGTAGCGCATAATTCCCGACTCTCACAATGCTCTCACAATGCACTACATATTTACCTTTATGGTTGATACTTTGTGTAAGTGTATTATTGATTACCCTTATGGTTGGTACTAAGAGTAGGAGCGTTACTTTGTTTTATGGTTGGTTTTGAAATTTAGTGTGTTACTTACCCTTATGGTTGGTACTAAGAGTAGCTGTGTTTACTGACGTTTATGGTTGGTACTAGGAGTAAGTGTGTTACTTACCTTTGTGGTTGGTACTAATAAGTATGGTTGGTACTAAACCTAAGTGCGTTACTCACATTTATACTTAATACTAAGTATAAGTGCGTTATTTATTCTGATAGTTCGTACTAAGAGTAAGTGCGTTATTTACTATTATGGTTGGTACTATGAGTAAGCGCGTTATTTACTGCTTATGGTTGGTGGTGCGCCCGATCAGCGCATTATTCCCGACATTCACAATGCTTTGTTGCATAACATGCCGTCCCATCTTCTCAAACCTCCCCACCACGGCCAGACAACGCCGTGTGCTACACGACCCGTGGGCACGTGCTGGTGCGAGCGTCTGTGTGCCCTGCCACCACCTCCCTTGAGGACTTCCTCCACCGCCACCTCTGTCAGTGCCGCCCTGCAATTCTCTTTCTCCCCCTGCACGCACTGCACTCGCTCCACTCACCCCTCCCACCCCACTCGCTTGACTGACCAATCCTGCGTTTCTGCCTTTCTCTCTATTGATGCATGTATGCTGTGGCTTCTTCCGCCTTGATAACACAGTCTGGCTAAGTCGCATCTTGGTTTAATCACCTTCTGCTACCAGTCGACCTTTTCAGTCTCACCCTACCCCCCTTCCTCATTTCGTCCTCTTTCCATTCCTAACAACTCGTCCATGCTGTCCGCCTTGAGCCCCCTCCTGCACCCGCATATCAGACGCCCCGCTGCAACCCTCTCCTCCTCCTCCTCCTCCTCCTCCTCCTCCTCCTCCTCCTCCTCCTCCTCCTCCTCCTCCTCCTCCTCCTCCTCCTCCTCCTCCTCCTCCTCCTCCTCCTCCTCCGCTTCGCCACCCCTGGTGGCTCTCCTGGTTGGCCTGCCTCCACTTGCAGCTGGGTCGACTCTTCAGTGCAGGCACTGCGACGTGCTGGGGGGAGCAGGAGCCACAAGATGAGATTGAGGGTGAGGGTGATGAGGATTCCTCACACCTGGCCATGCTGGGAGAGGAGCAGGGGGGGGGGATGAAGGGCGATGGTGAAGGGGATGGTGAAGTGGACGATGCTGGGTGGAGCAGTGGTGGAGAGGAGATGCAGCTGGTGCTGTCGTGTGCCGACACGGGCTGTGGGTTTGATTTTACGGGGGAGGAGCTGTCAGAGTTCAAGGTGAGAGGAGCGTGTGAGAGGAGCGTGTGAGAGGAGCGTGTGAGACCACACACGGTGACGTCTTCGTGGAGAATCAGATTGTCCTTTGTTTGGCTTTGTGTCGCACAGATCCTGCTCTCTCTTCCTTACTCATGTGAAGTCAGTTCAAGGGTCTCTCATGATTTATCTCCTATCTGGCTGTCCATGGTGGTACACTGCAGGGGCGATCGGAGAGTGGAGGGGCAGGCCTGGGGCTTGTACTCGTGCACCAGTTGGTGAGCCCTCTCTCCCCGTGCTGCTCCCTCACTGACTCCCATCCCGTCCCATCCCGTCGTTTGGTGCTTTCTCCATTCCTACTCCTAACTTCCCTGAGTTCCGTTGCCATTTACCTAGACGACTCCTTCAACCACCAAAGGGTAAACACCTGACCCCCATCTGCCCCTGCGCCCGCCATCTGCACCATCCCCTTTTTAACCCTGTCATCCTCCCTTCAATATCCATCTTCCCTTCCCCTCCCGCCGCCATCCCCCCCTTCCAGGTGGCCCTCATGGGTGGCCGCGTTGCCTGTCTCTCCCACCCCGGCACCGGCTCCACCGTCGCTTTCTCCGTGCCCTTCGCCCCAACCCGCCACCCCACCCCCGCTGCTGCCTCTGCTCCCCACCCTACTGCTCCTGCTGCCCCCCCCCCCTGCTGCTGCCGCTTCTCCTGCGGCTGAGGCAAGCGGGAGAGAAGAAGCCGTGACAGAAGAACAGGGGGGGGGGGGTCCGCAGGGGAGGAAAGGAGATGTGGCCCGTGGTTGCGGGGAAAGGGCGGGCGCGGCAGCAGGTTCAAGGGGGGGAGCTGGCTGCGACGGTTGGATGTGAGGCACAGTGCCATGCTGGGCAGGCGGGAAAGCGAGCCGTGCAGAGTGGAGGCGGGGGGGCATGAAGGGTGCACGAGGGGCGTTGGGGGAGTGGCTGTGGTTGTGGCGGGGGCAGAAGGCAGCACGAGTCAGGTGAGACTGGTGGGGATACGAGATGGACTTGATTGGGGGGGGAGGAAATAGGGGGAGGGGAGGTTTTGGCCATGTGGCTGTGTGTGTGGGTGGGGTGGGGGGATTGATGCAATGGAGTGCACAGATGGGCGTTGTTTCACTCACCTCCTCTTCCCCATACCAAGCCCCAAGCCGGTGACTTTTGAGTCGACTCGTGTGTCACCATCTATCCCCCCCACTCTTTGCATCCAACGCCCTTTTCGTTCCCGTGGCAGCTCACGGCGCTCATGCTGGGTGGTGTCGGAGCTCACGTGCACGTGCTGCCCCGTGCCCTGGATCACTTGCAAAACTTTAACGCCTGTGTTGCCGACGGGGGGACAAGCAGAGCTGAGGGGAGCTGCAAGGATGCAGCGAGGGCACAGGGGGGGGCGGAGGAGATGCGAGAAGGTGCGTGCAGAGGGAGTGGCTCGTATGGTCGGACGGACAGAGGGATCTGGGAGGACGGGGGAGAGGGTGCTGGTGCGAGCAAGGTAGGGGATGAAGATGAGGGTTGGGAGGGCATGCCATACGTGGTGGTGGTGAATGAGGAGGACCTGCGGTGGCAGCAGGGGGGGCGATCAGCAGCTGGCATGCACTGGGACAGGGACAGTGGGGTTGCCACGAGACAGGAGGATTTTCAGTGTGGGTGGAGCGGGCAGCAGGGTGGGTAGGGGGGTGGGGGCAGAAGGGCAGGTGTGGTGGTGCTGGCACCGGGGGAGGCAGCAGCATGGCAGGCAGCAGCAGTGGGGCTTGTGAGGCGCTGCATGGCGGCACACAGGGGTGGGGGGAGAGCAACGCTGGTTGGAAGGGGGAGGGCGGACGGGGGAGGAAGAATAGACGAGGAAGTGGGGGGAGGTGGTGGATGGGCAGGGAAGGGGAGAGAGGTCAGCCCCACGGCAGAGAGGCAGCCTTGCTGGGATAGGGTGCGGGGGATTATCATTCTTGCTTCATGCACTGTTGGATCAAGGGGGGACGAGGGGGAGCAGGAGAATGAGGAGAACGGGGGAGATGGGGGGAACGGGGTGGTGAAGAGCACAACTGCAGGAAGAGGAGAGGAGGAGGAAGTGGAGGAGGAGGTGTGTGATGGTGAGGGAGGGGCAGGGATCGCTGGGGGACAGGCATCTCCCGGCCCCTGTACCACCCCTTTAGCCTCGTCGTTGCTGCCTGACACTGCTGCGTCTGCCAGTGCTGCTGCTGCTGCTCCCCGTGTGGTGGTGTGCTTCCGCCCTCTGCTCTCCCACCACCTGCACCAGGCCGTCCAGGTGAGGTTGACAGTGCCAACTTGACACGACTCCTTGTCTTTCAAGCACCCGCGAAACGCAACTGACCGCTCAGGTGTGTTGCACAGCACTGCACATCAGCCATGCTGAGGTCTTCTGCTGTAAGAGTGTGTGTGCCAAGTGAGCCGTCTGTCGCTTGCTGGGCTGTAAGATTGCACTAGCACAGTGGGTCAGCACCCGACAAATCCTATCGCCTCTCCTCTAGATCGGCAGCCTGGTGTCATTACTGCCAGGTGTCAGCGCTGCCAGGTGTCAGCGCTGCCAGGTGTCAGTGCTGCCAGGTGTCACAGGTGTCAGCGCTGCCAGGTGTCACAGGTGTCAGCGCTACCAGGTGTCACAGGTGTCAGAGCTGCCAGGTGTCAGAGCTGCTCTGCTGTCAGCTGCACCTTGCCTCGGCGCCGCCAGTACCGTTCACCTCGCCTTCCCCCACACCTTTCTTTCCCCAACGCAGGTGGCAGCGTTTGGAATGGATTCCAATAATGCATGGCACGGCAGTGCAGAGTGCGAGTGGCAGGTTAGCCCTGAGCCTGCCCGGCAATCACAGCAGGGCAGGCCGCAGGAGAGTGGTGAGGGGAGGTCAGAGCAGCGAAGCTCAGGCAGACAGTGGATTGAAGAGAAGGGTGATGAGCCGCAGCAGGGTGGCAGCATCAGGGATGAGACTAGGGGTGATGACAGTTGTGGCGAGGCCCGGCTGGGTGACAGCATGAGTGCACGTAGAGTGAGGAGGAGCGCGAGTGAGCATGCTGCAAGCCTGGCAGGATTTCAGCCTACTAGCTGCATGGCAAGTCGGAGGGCAGCAGCAGCAGGGTTGGTGGCAGCATCCGGGGCGGCAGGGGGGGTGCTTGAGGGGCAGCGCGTGCTGGTGGTGGACGACACGGCAGTGAACCTGCTGGTGGCCCGCCGCACTCTCACCCGTTGCGGCGCCACCGTCAGCACGGCGGGCAGCGGGGAGGAGGCGGTGCGGATGGTGGCAGCGGCTGTGAGTGCGGCAAGCGATGGCGCGGCGGCGCATGGCAGCGCTGTGCTGGATGTGGTGCTCATGGACCTGCACATGCCCGCCATGGATGGGTGAGTCGTGCCTAGCGGTGGTGAGTGGTGGGGATGGGGGGTCAGCGGTGGGCATGGAGCGTGAGTGGTGGGCATGGATGTGGATCATTTGGTGAGTGTTGGTGCGCGCTGGTGAGTTGTGGGCGTGGATGGGTGAGTGGAGGGCATGGATGGGGAGAGTGGTGGTGCACGATGGTGAGTGGTGTGTGTCAGAACTTGAGCTTAGAATCCATGCACTAGTAATGAGTTTGAAGCTCTTTAAGTACATCCAGGATGGTCAATCTCTAAGGATTGGGGGCAATCCTAATGCAATCTCCAATTGGTAGGTTGGAGATTGCTTGGAGATTACATTTGAGTTTGGTTGGGATGTAGGTGTACACCCAACCAAACACAAAGTGCAAACTACACTACGCTAGGATATAGAAAGTGCAAATACAAAGTGTGAGATTGAGGGCTAACACTAACAGTGTGGTGGGCATGGATGAGTGAGCGTTGGTGCATGGTGGTGGTGAGTGGTGGGCGTGGATGGGTGAGTGGTGGTGTGTGGTGGTGAGTGGTGGGCGTGGATGGGCTAGAGTTTCAAAAATCCATGAGCTATAGATGGCATGGTGAAATGTTGTACTGAGAAATGGTATTGAGATACTTTTGAGTGAGAGTTGGGAGAACCTAACCAAACTTATGTGTGCCGACAAGTGGGATAGGACATTGAGGGGGTAAGAAGGTCGCGGCAAGTGCACATCATAGCATACATGAGCGACCCAACGAGCTCAAGATACTGCCGCAATTCAGAGGAGGGTATGGGGCAGGGGCTGATGGCTACCTGAAAGATGAGTGGAAATCGGTTTGGCCTGGGACATCTTGAACCGCTTGGGTATGGACTGGATGTAGAAGGGTTAAAAAGGAGGGATGATGCGGACAGCGCAATAGAGATGAATCTCTCAATTCCAACGTGCACCTTGTTCAAGAAGGGGGCGGAGAATGGGGAAACGAGTAGTTGGGGAGTAAGTAACAAAGTAGTCAATGCTTTTACGCATGTGAAGCCATTGGCCCAATAACGATCTTTGAAGAGAGGAAGCTCCCGAGGCAACTTTTTGACACGAGAGCTATTATAGTCGCCAATGGTGACACATAGAGGAGGAAAAATAGGATGAACATAAAGAGCTCATCGAAGCGATCTTCCAGAAGATCAAGGTCCAGAGAGGGAGAGAGTCGAGTGAAAAAGGCACAATGCTGTAAATCGGACAGCGCGCGGGTCATGGAGCGAGTGAGGTGCTAAGAGGTGGGGGGAGTGGGAACGGGAGGAAGGGAAGCTGGGGGGTGTTGGAAGTGGACACTGGAATGGCCCGAAGTGTCCTTAAGAGCTATAAGTGTCGTCCTGGGGGGTGTGGGTGCGCTGACCGACTAAGGAAACATGCTCAGTTGATAGCGAAATAGAGTGCTATATTTGCATGGTGCGGTGAGCGTGAAGGCCAGTGTTCAATTTCTGCTGTTGGCGACTAATGAAGGGAGTGTTGGAAGCGGACACTGGAATGGCCCGAAGTGGTCTCCCCAAGGGCTACAGGTGTCGTCCTCGGGAGCTACCAAGGAAACATGTCTAACCAAGCTAGTTAACAAACTGGAATGCTATCCCTTTAAGGGAGGCAGGAGGACAAGCGCCAGAGATTACATCGAAAGGAGGGGCAGAGAAATAAGCGGTAGAGAAGGGGTAGGGTTTGGAAGAAGGGGAGGTTGGGAGGGAGGAAACGAAGCAGCAGAGGGCAACGAATCGAAGTCAGACCAATGAAGAGAGGGAGAGGGGCGAGGGGTGGAGGGAAGTGTGGAATGGAAAGTGAGTCTCATCAAATATGACATTTTGATTGCGAATGAGCTGGTGAGACGAGGGAGCATAAAAGAAGTACTCAGGTCAATCAGAGTTGATTCGAAGAAACGCACAAAGTTGCGTCTTGGGTGGGATTTTCCCACCTTGGCGTGCTCGGTCAGTCAAATTTACAAGGACATGAACGATACAGCACCACACCCGAAGCAGATGAGTAGATGGTTGATGGCCTGTCCAGAGCTGAAAGGGGGTCCATATGCACGAGATTAAGAGGCTGGGGAGAGGCAGAGGGGGAAGAAGGATGAGAGGATTGTGAGAGCTTGGCTTGAACACAAGGAGTGCACAAAGGAGCGGGAGAGAGGGGGAGGAGCAGGAGAGAGGGGGAGGTGCGAAGGAAAAGACCATGCTTTGAAGGAGGGGGAAATTGGGTGACCAGGATGATGATGAAGAAGAAGGGTTGGGGCGCAGATGCCAGTGACTGTGCCGGATCAGAAGGCTGGACAGGGAACTGTGGAGGACCCATGGCATTGGATGGAGAAGCTAGAATCGGCTCCAAGGAGAGGGGTGGGAGCTTGGTAGGGAATGAATGCATTTTGGTCTTTGAGCACTGTGTGGGTGGCACCGCTGTTTAGGACAAACTCGATCCCCTGTGTGGTTGAAACTCCGATGTACTGCGACTTCTTCTCATTAACAATGCCAGCATCAGAAAACAACAGATTAAGGGCGCGTAACTTTTTCGCTTTTCGTCGTCCGGACCGTCCGGAACCCCTGCAACGTCATTGGTGCGCGAGACACATTTTTAAGAATCAAACTTTCCACTCCAACTTTCAATTTGTTACTCACAATAGCACGAGCAAGAGGACAAAGTGGTTGGAAAGTTCAAACATTACCGAGCCGCAAATGCATGCTTGCGAATTGGGCGATGTTGTGGCGAGGTAAGTTATGCTCGTTACTGTTTCATACGAATTTCAAATTTCGAAACTGCAAAAAAAGTGTCACAATTGTGGTACGGACGCTTCATCGTCCGAACCACATCCCTAACCGTCCGGACGGAGCTCCATTTGGACGTTTTGGGGACTCCGTACGGACATTTGACTAAAATGGAAAAAGTTACGCGCCCTAAGGCGAACATCAGATGGGGCGCTAGCAAATGCCTGGGCAGGTTCCTCCACTTCCTCGACCTGGTTTACGCGACGGGGTGGTGCCTTGTTGGGAGGGCGCTTGTCCTTGGAGACACCATGGACGTCATACCACTCGTTATCTCGCTTCTTGAAGCAAGAGGCCTCAGGGTGGTTGGTGCCGTTGCATTTCTGCCCCGCACGTGGACCCTTCCTAATGATGTAGGGGCATGGGGGAAAGGAGTTGCGCCTCCGGCCCTGCTGAGAGCGAAATGGGATACCAGGGGAGTAGCGCACAGCATTGACGGATGCTTGGGCGGCAAGGTCCTTTTCTGCAGAGAGAAGGGCCGATGCGACTTTCTCGAAAGTGAGTTCCTTGGTGGGGAGCTGCTTGAGCATGGAACTGGTAACGTTGTACGCCGAGGTAATTCATACGAGAAGCCCAGTTGCAAGTGCCTGTTTGGGGAAGATGATCCCAATTTCCTTGAGCTCCTCATGGATGTTGCGGATTTCAGAAACGTAGTCCGCCATGCCCGGGCATTCCTCAAGACGAATTTGGAACATGCGAGAAATGAGAATTGCTACCCCCACTGCAGTTTTGTCATGAAAGCGGTCCTGGAGGTATTTCCATATGTCATGCGCGGAGTGGAAGGTGCGGTAAGATTTGACAAGCTCAACCGGAGTGGTGGTGATGAAGACCTTAATCACTGCTGCATCCGCCTGCTCCCACACACCGAAGTCGATCTCATACTGGGTGGTCTTAGTATCAAATGCGGTCTTAGCTGCGGCAGTTGCTCCTTCACCAAGAGGATCGGGAGAGAGAGGCATCTTGCCCTTGCTACGGTTAAGGAGGATGTCCTTGAGGCAAATCCCTTTAAGCTCAATGCTAAGGAGGTGCTTCTCCACTCCGTAGCACCACTCCCCGAAGCTGGTGCTCGTGCCGATGATGAGGTTTCCGACGAGGGTGGAAGTAGAAGTCGCCATTTCGCGCGAAGTGCAGCGCTGAAGTCTCCAATACGTAGTGATTTTGGAATTGAAGGAAGACTGAAACGCGATTTCGGCAACAGAAGCCCTGTATTCTGATCTGCTACACTGCTTCGCCGATGCCCCCTCTTCTGCGCTGCCGCTGCCCCTTTTCCGCTTCACTGCTGCGCCGCTGACCTGTTCTGCTGCGCCGCTGAACCTGTTCTGCTGCGCCGCTGACCTGTTCTGCTGCGCCGCTGACCTGTTCTGCTGCGCCGCTGACCTGTTCTGCTGCGCCGCTGACCTGCTCTGCTGCGCCGCTGAACCTGTTCTGCTGCGCCGCTGAACCTGTTCGGCTGCGCCGCTGGACCTGTTCTGCTGCGCCGATGAAAACCTGTTCGAAGTCTAAGAAATTGCGAAATTTGCCACGGAGATTAAGAAACCAGAAGCTCGCGATGAAGGAATTTGAAGGCAGAAAATGTCGCCGTTGAAAACCGAGATGCGTGATGAAGGAAGCCGAATGCGCGATTGTCCGGAGCGACGAAGTGAAGTTGAAAAAACGCTAAGCGTACGAGCCGGGAGCCGAAATAGGCAAAGCCTAGAAGAGGAGAAACATCGCGACGCCAAGGATCGTATTCCGCGTGAGCGGAGTTTACTAGCTCGATACCATGATAGAATTGGAGCTGAACGAACTGGTTGATCAAGAAGGCACTAGGCCTTAAGTACAAACAAGGTTGGGTTGAGCAAAGCTAGGGAAAGATTGGGATGGAAATCCTAGCAAATCTCCAATTGGTGAGTTGGCAGATTTGCAGGATTACGAGGGAATCCCAACTAGATAGGGTTGGGATCACAAAACTACACCCAACCTGCAAATAACCTAAACCATATAAAGTAGAGTACACAAAGTGTTGACAGCCTATTTCTAACAATGTGAACGCAAAACCGGAGTGATTGAAGGGCGGAAAATAAACCCTCGGAGGAATTGAGTCCACTATTTGAAGGGCGGAGAATAAAATATTAATTACTGTCGTGTACTTCCTTTGCACATGCACAAGCTCTTGTTGTATTCTCCTCCTCACAGCACCCTACACACCCTCGGTCTCTGCTGCATGTGCTGTGCTGCCCATGCTGTGCTGCCTGTGCCGCACTCCTCCCAGGTTCATGGCAACAGAGGCGATACGCGAGCTCGAGAGGGATGCAACCCTGCAGTCCACCCCGGCAGCACAAGCAGCAACTTACGGCGCTGCACCAACAGACTCGCAGGCTGCTGCTGCTGCATCTCACTCTGCCGCCGTTCACCACGATGCCACAACTGCCCATACTGGCTCTCACAGCAGATGTGGATGCTCACATCATGCAGCGATGCCTTGCCAGTGGCTTCGATGGCATTCTGCAGCAGCCCATTGACCCCAAGCAGCTCGCCAATCTAATGCTACGGTTGGAAAGGCATCCCAGGCTGGGACCCTTGAGAACAATTTCACATCCGATAACATGACCTACGACAGACTGTAAACCAGTGGCTTTGCTTGTAACCAGAGCTCCGACTAGTAACCAGAGCTTATTTCACTGCAGTCTGATGTCATACCGTCATCACCCGGATATAAGACAGTGTTGAATAGTAGACAGGGGTTGTCTATTATACGGGTGTCTCTTATAAACGGGGTAGCCTCATTATAAGACGCCTATTTGTGTGTAGGGGCAAATGGCAAATGTATAACGAGGAAGTATCTTCTAAACGGATTTTTGTCCATTTATAAGACTGATTTTTTTAATGTATGAGATAAGACATACATGTCTTATATCCGGGCGATGACGGTACCGTACGAGAGTTTTCTCCGAATTCTCATACGGTACATTTTTGCAGCTTATGATTCAGGCAGAATATTTATGACGCCTAATTTAAGCGTGTTGATTCATCTGTTACTATTGATAAATGTGTCATATTTACCTTAGCAGTGCTGTTTTTCATTGTAAAACTGCCAGACAATGATTTTTGTTTTTTTTAACCTAGGCAGTCAATTATCACCATTATGGTCAAGTTTTAAAACTCTGGGAACTTACCGTATTTTGTCTGTTACTGTATCAGACTGTGCTGGGCGTTTTATCAGAGACCAGCAATCCCTCATGCATGATGGTCAGACTAAAGTTTGCAAGAGCCTTAGCTCATTTTTTCCAGACTACCGCCCTAAAACCCCCTATAGGTATATTCAAATCCCTAACGCATGGGATTTTCTTCCCCATGCACGTCAGCCAGTCCACCTCAAGGATCCCCACTGCATCCACTGCATCCACTGCATCCCCACTGCATCTCCACCGCATCCTCACTACATCCCCGCTGCATCCCTACCGCATGTCCCTGTCTGCCCCATGGTATGCATCGTCATCAGAGAAGGGTGGCGGTTCCAAGTCACTCTCCTCATCGAATACCACCTCCTCCTCCACCGGTGCCACATGCTCGCGCACCAACTGCACAGCACAGGGCAAGATCAGCAAGAGGGAGCATGAAGGGGAATGGGGAAGAGGGAACACGAAGGCATGAAGGGGAATGAGGGAGAAGGGTGGCAGGTCTAAGCCACTCTGCTCATCTGATACCACCTTCTCCTCCACCGGTGCCACATGCTCTCGCACCAACTGCACAGCACAGGGCAAGATCAGCAAGAGGGAGCAACAAGGGAATGAGGCAGAAGGGGAGGTACGCCAGATGGATTGACGAAGGCGGGTGGGTGGGAGGGGAGGCGGGGTGGGGGGCCAGGGCGAGATGTATGGCAGAATGCCTACAAGGTGCCATGGGAAGGCAGGCACAGTCAACACACAGCACAGGATAACACACAGCACAGGATAACACACAGCACAGGATAACACACAGCACAGCATGACACACAGCACAGGATAACACACAGCACAGGATAACACACAGCACAGCATGACACACAGCACAGGATAACACACAGCACAGGATAACACACAGCACAGCATGACACACAGCACAGGATAACACACAGCACAGGATAACACACAGCACAGGATAACACACAGCACAGCATGACACACAACACAGCATAACACACACCACAGCATGGCATCAACTTCACAAATTGCATCGCAGCAAGCACAAGAGGAAAGGGGGCAAGAGGGACGGGCTCAATCGCTCCACGCGTCGCTGGGCACATGAGTGCTCTATGTGAAGGGGAACGACTGGGGCTTGAAGCAGTGTGTAAGGGATGAGGGCAGCGCAGGGGGGGGGGGGGGGCGCACAGTAACCTAGTGGAGCAGTGACCTGGGGGGGTGCGCTTGGATGGCGGACTAGTGATTCCCGTCTGCGGAACATGGCTCACAAGCCAGCTCAACAGTAATGAGTGGCAACATGCCGTGAGGTGGGGTGAGGTGTTCAACTCACCTGCGGGAGCTTGTGCCGCGAGGTAGACTGCAGAGGTGCCTGCCCCCCTTCCTCACCTCATTGCGTCTATTGAGGGGAGGGGGCTGCAGAGGCGCACTGACTGACCTGCTCTAGCTCGTCACACATGTGGGGGTTGTCATTGAGAAACGTGATGGCGTGAGGTGCCTTGTGAGGTGCCTTGTGAGCTGACTCAACTCAACAGCCTCGAGCGGCGCACTGACCTGCTCCAGCTCGTCACAGACGTGGGGGTTGTCGTTGAGAAACGTGATGGCGTTCTCACGCCCTTGCACCCTGCCACGGGGCGCACAGGGAGCGTGCGGGGTGAGAACGAGGAGCACAGGAGAGTGGGGGAAGGAGGAGCGGTGGGAAAGGAGGGAGGGGCGAAAGGAAGAGGTAGAATGGGAGGTTGGAGGTGTGGGGAAGCGGGTTGGAAGTAGGTAAATGGAGTAGGTGCAGTGGCGTGAGAGGGAGAGTGAGTGGCAAGAAGCAGCAATGGTGGGGCGATAGGTGGGCATGAAAATATGAACCATCGCCGCACCTCATGTCATGCCCCCCTCTCACCGCATGGACCCCCCCTTCTCACCTCATCTCCCGTCCTCTCAACTCATCGCCACCCCTTCACACCTCATCCCTTCCCTCTCTCTCACCTAATCCTCCTCCCCCTCTTGCCTTATCTCCTCCACCTCTCCCATCGACCCCCTCCTTTCTGACTAACCTCATTCCCTCCCCATCACTTTATCCCACTCCCTCTCACCTCACCCACCCCCTCATCCTCCCCCCCCCTCTCACCGCATGCCCCCCCTCTCACCGCATGCCACCCCTCTCACCGCATGCCCCCCCTCTCACCGCATGCCACCCCTCTCACCGCATGCCCCCCCTCTCACCGCATGCCACCCCTCTCACCGCATGCCACCCCTCTCACCGCATGCCCCCCCTCTCACCGCATGCCACCCCTCTCACCGCATGCCACCCCTCTCACCTCTCCCTTCCCTTGTAGCTATACCAGGACCCCTTCCTGCGATCTCTTCCCCCCTCCCCGCTCCACTACTCATCTTTCCCCCACTTCTCACTGCCCCCACCCTCGCCACTCACCGCATGTCATCCCTGAAGCCGTACCAGGACCCTTTCACTCTCACCTCTCCGCCCTCTGCCCTCCACTCATCTCCCCCCCTCCCCCCCCCTCTTCTCACCTTCCCAACCCGTCTCCTCTCATCACATCTCGTCCCTGTCTCACCGCATGTGGTCCCTGAAGCTGTACCAGGACCCCGTCCTTCTCACCTCTCTGCCCCCTCTACGCATCTCCCCCTCCTTTCTCCCCTCTCACCACCCCCACCCAATCCACTCACCGCATGTCGTCCCTGAAGCTGTACCAGGACCCCTTCCGCTCCACCTTCTTCAGCTCCTCCGCACAGTCTAGTACACAGCCCTGCTCCGCGGCGCAGGCGGCAGAGGGGGGGCATAGGGTGCAGACGGGGCAGAGGGGGCAGAGGGGGGGGAGAGGGGGCAGAGGGAGACGAGGGGGCAGAGCATGAGGCATATTCATGAACATGGTAGGGATCGGGTATGATGAAAAGAAAACAAGATCACCAAGTGCAAACACAGAAACCAGAAGCAGAATAAAGATGGAGGAGCATGGAAAGGGGATGAATGAGTAACCGCGGTAGAGAAGGGTAAGAGAGGGGTGCAAGGTTCTGGCGAGCCGAGTAGGAGTGCAAGGGTTTAGACGGGGAGCCACACACACATGTGAAAGAAAGGAGAAGGGAGAAGCGGGGGAGAGGAGCGAGGAGACGGGGTGGGGAAGAGCGTGGGGGATGAGGCGAGGCGAGGCGAGGGGAGGTGAGGGGAGGGGAGGTGAGGTGAGGCGAGGGGAGGGGAGGTGAGGTGAGGTGAGGTGAGCGAGTGGGGTTGAATGAGGGTGAGCGAGTGGGGACCAATGAGGGTGGGCGAGTGGGGTTGAATGAGGGTGAGAGCGGTTACCGCGTGGGAGATGCCGGTGCCGAAGAGCAAGTCAAACTCCACTGTGCGCAGTGGTGGACTCACCTGCCATGCATGGCAGGGGGGGGGCAGCAGCACGGGGCATAATGGAGAAGGTGAGCAGTCAAACTCCACTGTGCGCAGCAGTGGACTCACCTGCCACAGCGCGGCGTGCAGCACGGGGGAACGGGGGAGGGCAGCAAGGGGGCATGGCAAGGGGGAGGGCAGCACGGGGGAAGCGGGACGAGCAGCAAGGGGGCAGCGGGGGTGACAGGGGCGAGGGGAGGCGGGGAAGCAGTGAGGGTGTGTGCATCGTAAAAGTTTGACACATTGAGTGGATGGGAATGGTGCATGCTCTGCCCTCTACTGCTGGCTGCTGGCTGCTGGCTGCTGGCTTGGCTTGGCTTGGGTTGGCTTGGCTTGGGTTGGCTTCCCCAGGAAGCTCTCCCTGCTTCGCTCCCTGCTGCTTCATTAACACACTCAACAGCTCCTGTCGCCCCATGTGCCTGCCTGCCTGCCTGCCTGCCACTCCGCTCCACCACCATTCTCGTGCCCCGTCAAGCACACTCCCTCCTCCGCGTGCTCAAGCCTGATTGGCCCCCCAGGAGCAGTGGCTGTGGAATGAAATTCACGGTATAGCCGCATATCCTCTTCTTGCCCCCTCCCCCCACCCCTTCCCCCTTCCTTCATTCGTGAGAGAGGGTGAGAAAGGTGCTACACGGGAAGGAAGGGAATATGCTGAGACATTGACTCAAGAATAGGCATGAGCACAAGGGCGAACACCTGTTCGGTTCGCCTCTAACATGTTCGTGTTCGCCCGAACGTGTTCGTGCTCGGTTCGCCGCGGCTAGCCAAGCCGCGCCGAACACGAACATGTTTGTGTTCGCTTTGTGTTCAGGACGTTTTAGGGAAGAAACCAGCGAAACAACCCAACTTCACATCACCCACCATAGCACCTCCCCTTGCTGAAACCGACACCCATTCCGTTATTAGAAGCCCATTTTGCCCATCCCACGGCTGTTGAAAAGTCGAGCATGAACATGTTCGCCAAGAACATGTTTGTGCTAGGGACGAACATAGGGGTGTTCGCCCCTAGAGGCGAACAGACGAACACCATTTTCTCATCAAGTGTAAGCGGTGAACCGAACACTGTTCGGTTCACCCAGGTGACATGTTCGCCCTGGACGAACACGAACATGTTTGTGTTCGCCTCGTGTTCAAGCCTACTCAAGAAACACATCAGAAGGAGGAAGAGGTGGCAAGAAGCTTCCTGTGTGTGTTTTTTGACATGCGAAGCAGCACGCGGTGCAGAGAGATGTAGAGAGATGCAGAGAGATGTAGAGAGATGCTGCATGGGCGCATCACAACACACAGGGCCCACAGGCGGTGCAAGGGTTTAGGGCGTGTGAGCGTGCTTGCCTTGCTCTTGGCCACCTTGCAGCGCACGCGAATACCCACATCTGACTCGTCCTTGGCCTGCCACGGGGACACCACAAGGCAGTGAGAGCAGTGAGAGAATGGGTGTGGGGTGGGGAACGCACAGGGTCACAGGGATGAGCAGAGGGCGTTTGGAGGGAAGAGAATGATGCAGACGGGGTTGATTTGATAGCTCTCAAACGTGAACGGGACGCCATGCAGAGCAGAGCACCACGTGTGCAGGGTGGTGCAACAAGGGCCGCATTCACCAATCGCCACATCATCCTTGCACTTTTGGATCTGATTCGCTGCACTCATGGATCTGATTCGCTGCACACACACACGACACGACGTGATTGGCTGCACTCACGGATTTGATCTTGGCAACACTGCGCAGGTCAAGGCGCACAGAGGCATAGTATCGCAGGGCCGTGCCCCCCGTGGTGGTCTCGGGACTGCCAAAGGCAAAGCCTCCCGTGTTGATCTGCACTCACGTCACAGCAGCACAGCAGCACGGCAGCACAGCAGGACGCATGGATGATGGGAGTGGGAGGGGAAGATTTGGGGCGGGAGGTGGGGGGAGAGAAGGGGGGAAGAGGTGAAAGGGAGATTTAGAAAACGGGGGTGTGGGAAAGGAGGAGGCAGGGGTAGGGGAAGGGAGGCAGGGGGAGAAAGAGTGACATGGTTGTGTGTGTGCAGGTTGTGATGTCGCAGAGTGGATAGTGATGGAGATGGTGGGGGCAGGGGGGCATAAGGCAACATCAATTAGGCTCATTCCCTGCCTCAAAGCGGGTGAGTGGAGACAAGTGACATGGTGACACGGTGACAGGGATGACAGAGTGCATCTGCGAGTGCGCATGGAAATGAGAACAGCCAAGCGAGGACAGACAGCTCCCAGCTTGCGTGCCTTCACGCGCCCATACACCACACCACGCCCCCACATCGCCACGCCCGCCCATCACCACGCCGCACTCCCCATCACTCTCTCCACCCCTTCTCCCCCCTCCCTTCCCCCCCATTCCCCACCTTCTGTCGCATCCAGTTGAGGAAGATGACAATGCACTTGGACCTGCTCGCACTGGCGCTCAGCTTCTGTGCCTTGACGCGCCTCAACGCCACGACCACACATGAACCACCCAAACCATCCCCCCCTCCTTCCTCCCTCCTTCTCTCCCCTACCCCCCCTCTGCCCACCTTCTGGCGCATCTGGTTGAGGAAGATGACAGTGCACTTGGAGCGGCTGGCACTGGCGCTGAGCTTCTTGAGCACCTTGGACATGAGGCGCGCCAGCAGCCCTATCGACTCCTGCCCCATCTCGCTCTGATGATGGGGTGCGTGCAGGCATTGGGGGGGAGGGTGTGCATGCATGGAGGGGGAGTGTGCATGCATGTGGAGTGTGCAAGGGGGGGAGGGTTGTGCACTTGAAAGGGCTGGCACTGGCGCTGAGCTTCTTGAGTACCTTGGACATCAGCCGCGCCAGTAGGCCTATCGACTCCTGCCCCATCTCGCTCTGCGAGTGCCATGGTGGTGCCAAGTGTGCGTGGATGGGGACGGGAGGGGCGTATGGAAGGCATGGTGGCGGGCATGGGAATGGCACCGGTGACGGTGGGAGAGGGGATGAGGGGAGAGTGAGCGAGGGGAAAAACTTGCAAGGGAGAAGAGAGAGATGGGGCGGAGAAGTGGAGCAGCAAGCGCGAGAGCGAGGCGCGAGGAAACAAAGGCATGCATGCGGTGACGGATAACGGACACACACACACATGCACGTGCAAAAGCATGCAAAGGAGAAAGGAGAGATGTGGGGCTGGGTGTGCGTGGGGCTGGGTGTGCGTGGGGCAGCGAGAGAGGAGAGGCACCTCGAGCTCCTGCGAGGGGATGAGCGCGGGCACTGAGTCGACGACCACTATGTCCGCTGCCAGCCCCCTCATCGCCGTGTCCACAACTGGTGCCCGGGGGGGGAGCGGGGAGGGGGGAGGGGTGGGAAGGGAGAGGGATGCGCAGACACAAGCATGCGAGAATGCGAAGGATTGAGGGAGTGAAGGAATGAGCGCGGGCACTGAGTCCACCACCACGTTGCAACAGTGTTCACAAATGCAAGGTGCAAGCAGCGCGCAGGGGGGCGAGGGAGGGGAGGGAGGGGAGGGAGGGGAGGGAGGGGAGGGAGGGGAGGGAGGGGAGGGAGGGGAGGGAGGGGAGGGAGGGGAGGGAGGGGAGGGAGGGGAAGGAGGGGAGCGAGGGGAGCGAGGGGAGGGAGGGGAGGGAGGGGAAGGAGGGGAGGGAGGGGAGGGAGGGGAGGGAGGGGAGTGAGGGGAGGGAGGGGAGGGAGGGGAGGGAGGGGAGGGAGGGGAAGGAGGGGAGCGAGGGGAGGGAGGGGAGGGAGGGGAAGGAGGGGAGGGAGGGGAAGGAGGGGAGCGAGGGGAGCGAGGGGAGGGAGGGGAGCGAGGGGAGGGAGGGGAGGGAAGGGAGGGAGGTGAAGGAGGGGAAGGTGGGGAAGGTGGGGAGGAACGCATATGCACGAACCTATAACGAGGTACGAGTTGGGGGAGAAGGGGGGGAAGGATGGGGAGGAAAAGGAGGGGGAGGGATGGAAAACGGTGTGAGGAGGGTGTACAGGGCAAAGGAAAGCAGCTGAAAGGGCGAGAGAGGAAGGTATGGAGGGGGATGATGATTGCATGCGTGCACAAATGGTAGATACATGCGTCACTCATGTACTAGAACAGGGTGAGGGCAGTGGAGAAGGGTTAAGGAGAGGAGGAAGAAAGTGAGATGAAAAGTGGAACGTGGAAGACCAATGGCATGGAAAATAAACGTGCAGTGCGGACACGCCTCACACGCCAGTGCTCATGCCCACACAACCCTCAACACCCCTCCACACAACCACAAATCCCCTCCTTTTCAACCCCCATCCCCACCCGGCCCCACTCCCCATGGTCTGCCCCACCCCCACCCATGGTCCCCATGAGCTCCTGCCGTGCACGCACTCTCGAGGGCCTTGTCAGCCTCCTCCGCCTGGCAGAGAATGAGCTTGTCCGTCTGCACGCCCAGCTGCCGCGCGTACTTGAGGTCCAACGCATGCTCCGCATCCACCACCCACGCTATGCCGCCGCGCTTCTGCTCACGCACGCCAGGGGTGGGAGAGGGGAAGGAGTGGAGGAGGGAGGCAGGGAGGGGGTGAGGCTTGTCGGTGTGCGCCAGGGTTCAGCCAGCTGCCGCGCGTACTTGAGGTCCAACGCATGCTCTCTGCAGTATCCACCACCCATGCTATGCCGCCACGCTTCTGCTCACGCCAGGTGTGGGAGGAGAGGGAACGGAGGGGGCCCAGCGCATCATCCGCGTCCACCACCCACGCTATGCCACCACGCTTCTGCTCCGTGCAGTGTTGTGGGGAAGAGAGGAGCAGGGGAGCACGTGGAGGGGACGCATGTGGGTTGGGCGGCGAGGGGAAAGGAAGGGGGGGAGGCAGGGAGGAGGTGAGGGTTGTCGGTGTGCACACGCCCAGCTGGTGTGCACATGTCAAGTTCAGCACATGCTCCGCATTTACCACCGTGCATTGCCGCTGCGCTTCTGCTCAGGTTGCGCAAGTAGACAAGGGTGTGCAAAGGAGTAGGGATGAGAAGGGAGACGAAAACCGAAGTGAGAGGGAGGCAGAGGGGGTGAGGCTTAATAGGATGGATGGTAGACTGGAGATGCTGGGAAAGAGCGGGGTTGAGGGAGAACACGTGAGGCCATGCAAGAAACAATGGAAGAGTGAGGGGGGGATGTGAGGGGGAGGATGGGAGAGGATGGGGGACAGAGGCATCAAGAGGGTTCACAGTAACGTATGGGCATCAAAGGCGAGGAGGCGAAGAGGAGAGTAGAGGAGAGGAGAGGAGAGAGGCGGAGGGGGGAGCAGAGGAAAAGGGGGGAAAGGGAGGTTACCTGCACTTGAGCGATGGCGTGCAGAGCGAGGGTAGTCTTGCCACTGCTCTCCTGCCCGTAAATCTGCTCTCATGCCAGCATGGCAGCACAGCGGCAACAGACGAGGGGGCGAACGGGATGGTGGAGTGTGGTGGGGGCGGGAGGACGGGAAGAAAGAGTGAGGGATGGCAAGGGGGGAGGAAGCGAGTACGCAAGAAGCAGTGCCCTAAGTGGCGAAAGACGCAGGGGGCGTCCTGTGCCAGTGCTACACGTGGCTTGATTGACACACAGCTGTGCAATGGAAAACAATGAAGCAGCAGCACGCAGTAGCAGCACGGTGACCAAACAATGACAAACCACCTCCATCACTGTCTGTGTCGCTCAAATCTCTCAAAAGGACCACCTCCGTCATTGCCAATCTGACCCCTTCCCCACTCACACCCCCCTCACCCCTTACCCCCCTCCGCCCCTCACCCCCCACCCGCCTCACCTCCACGATTCTCCCCTTGGGCAGCCCTCCTCCCAAAGCAATATCGAGTGTGAGCGCGCCAGTCGGAAAGGTTTCTCTGCAGGGCGGGGTGAGGCGGGGAGGGGGAGGCGGGCGGGGAGGGGCGGGCGGGGAGCGGCGGGGAGGGAGAGGCAGGCGGGGAGAGGCGGGGGTGATGATGAGTGAGTGGGAGCGGCAATGGCGAGCATGGTGTTTGTGTGTGCATGCAGCAGCATGATCCTCCAACGGATAGGCGAGCGTGAGTGCGTGCGTGCGTGCGTGCGTTGACAATACACTGAGGAGAGAGGGAAGAGGGAGAGCGGAAAAGGGGCAAGGCAGGGAGGGGAAGGGCAGAGGGGGGGGGGGAGGCGAAGACGGTGGGCCAGGAGGAAGGAGGGAAGCGTGGAACGCAAGCTTGGAGACAGCGAAACAGAGGCAGCAGGAGGGAGGCAAGGGCCATGGGAGGACGATGGCGAGGGGCGAGGGGCGAGGGGCGAGGGGCGAGGGGCGAGGGGGTCCATCCATGTGGGGCTTACGCGTTGGCTCGTTTGACGTCGTCGTTGAGGAAGGTGGCGGTGTTGGCGCCGTACTTGCCGTTTATCACCTCCATCGCCTCCCGCACCCTCGCCTCCTGCCCTCGCGCACACACACACGACGCGCACGCACACACGGGGAATGGCGCGCACACGGGGGAGGGCACGCGCACACGGGGGAGGGCACAAGGGCCGCACATACACGGGAAGGCAAACACGGGGGGTTACGGAGGCGGCGGGGAGACGGAGTGAGGGACGGATACGTTAAGGGAGAGTATGCGGAGCATGCACGATGCACGAGAGGTTTTCTTTTGCGGATTCTCAAAGACACGATGCCCTGGAAAGTTCGCCGTGGCGTGAGGAATGCATACGACGGCGGGATGGCGATGGCGGGAGACTAATTTACTATAATGGCTTTCAGCCAGGACTAATTGCGAGCCGCGGTGGCGGCATTGGCAAACGTGTGGGAAAATGCCCGCGACAAGCCACCCCCTGAAATGGGAAACGAGCGCGCGGAGCAGCGGAACAGCGGGGCAGCGGTGGGAAGTGGGGAAGCGCGGAGGCCCGCACACACCTTGTCCACCTCCAGCTCCCCGCCAGCGCCCGGCATGATCTTCCCACGCTTCTTCGCCGCCATCGCGCGCACCCCCGCGCGCCCAGCCCGCGCGCGCAAGCTGTTCGCGGGCATGGGTGGGGGTGGCGCGCGGAGGGTGTTGCGCGAGGAGAGGAATGGGGAGGACAGGGCCGGGACTTGCGCGGTGGATGCTCGAGGCGGTTGCGCGGTGGCGATCGGTTGAGGTGGATGCAGAGCGGTAGCCAAGGCGGACGAAACGGAGGCCGTCATTGTGCGCGAAATATCTGGTCGGAAAAGGCTCGGAAAGCGCTGCTGACACGAGCAGCGAGAGCGACGAGCAGGAAGGAGTGAGAAGGTGAAAACAGCAGCTGATCAGGTTTATGGGTGGAATCGGGAGAATCTCGAATTTGGAATCTGGATCACACTCGCAAAAACACCAGGCACAAAAAAAAACTTCAGTTTTACTCCAGGCCAAATATTTTGGACGAAGCGGGTGTGGGAGGTGGAATGGTGTTCGGGGGTTTCTGGTCCGGTTGCCCCACTCGAGCCCACTTTCACGCATGGAGCCGTGCTGCACAAGTTTCGTCAGAGACTTCTCGGGCATCTCGGTCAGGGCGAAAAAACATGGCAACATGGTTTGGGGCTTGACGCTGACGCTAGACGGTTTCGCCATTGTGAAAGCGGATGCGGGATACATAAGTGCATAAATACACGACTCTAAGTGCTGAGCCTATTACGTCTAGAAAAATGCGTTTTCTGTTGTGGTCTCATATCAAGGCACACCTCTTACCTTATTGTATTGTGTATTAACCATGTTCCTTTATCCATCAGTAGCTGGAATATTATCAAAATTTCATGATGCTTATATTGTGTAGGCTGTAGTGGGGTAGCCTATAAGGGGTTGTCAAACTACAATCTTACTTGTAGGCTATAGTGGGGCACTCCTTATGGGGTACAGCATTTCTAGGGCAGGGCCTCAGATTCGTTTGGGGGTACACTGAGTCCTCAGGGCATTTTTTAGGAAATCAGAATTTGCCCTGAATTGTCAGGGCTGTACAGGGTGAGTATCCTGAAATGCCAGTGTTTTAATACAATTTGAAAGTTCAGTGCTACATTTCGTAGTAGGTGATGTGTGGTAGCGGGTAAAGCGACAAAACGTTAAGTAATAGTTCTCCTGCTCGATTCCCGCTGACTCCTATGTTTGAGGTGCTCGCCCGTGAATATTTTAGGCCCCAAAACCCATGAGATTTTTCGTACAGTACATATGGCTTCAGAGCGAGATTCGACACTATCCTAACTCATCAGGGCTGAACCTACAGCCTTATCCTGAGTTTTCAGTACGCAAAATAACCGTTATACTGAAGTTACAGGACAATTATTCTTGTTATGCTGTTTTCCCAAGACTAGCATACGGCACCTATCCTGAATTCAGGAGAACCATGATAAATTATCCTGATAACTGAGGCCCTGTTCTAGGGTTAGTACTTGTACCCCAAATCTTGCTAATCCAATCATTCCTGGACAGTTATTCTGACATGGTATTCAGACCAGGAAACCTGTTTAGTTTTTAGGGCCCACCGATCGATTTGCTAAGTTCCTGCCCGAAGCGCCATTGCGCTCTCCGGCCCTCTCACACAGTGTCACGCTGCCCTGCAACTACTCGCACTGCCTGCCCTAGCACGCTGCCCTACTGTCACGCGCGCCCCTGCTGCCCGAGAGCAGCCCCTGCCCCGTGCGCCCCTACTGCTTGCGAGCAGTCCCTGCCCCGCGCGCCACCGCTGCCTGCGAGCAGCCCCTGCCCCGCGCGCCACTGCTGCCTGTGAGCAGCCCCTGCCCCGAGCGCCCCTTTTGCTCGCGACCAGCTCCTGGCCCAGCGCGCCCCGTCTTCAGGGTCGCGTCTGCAGGGTTCGCGCCCTACTGCCCTGCTCGTCGCGCCTTGCTGCAGCCAGTGCGTTGCGCTCTGCTGCTCCGCGCGTCGCGCCCTGCTGCAGCCCGCGCGTTGCGCTCTGCTGCCCCGCGCGTCGCGCCCTGCTGCAGCCCGCGTGTCGCGCTCTGCTGCCCCGCGCGTCGCGCCCTGCTGCAGCCCGCGCGTCGCGCCCTGCTGCCCTGCACAGCGCGCGCCCTGCTGCCCGCGCCGCCCAGGCCGAGCCGCGCCGCCCAGCCCGAAGCCGCCCTGCCCAACCCGAGCTGCCCTGCTGCTTGTGCTACTGCTGCTGCTGGTGGAGGTGCTGCTGGGAGTGCTGGAGGTGCCGCCGCCCAGCCCCACCAAGCCGCTCTGCTGCTCCTACTACTGTTGCTACTGCTCGTGCTACTTCAGCTGCTGGTGGGGGTGCTGCTGGGAGTGCTGGAGGTGCTGTTGGTGCTGGAGGTGCTAGAGGTGCAACTGGGAGTGCTGGAGGTGCTGGACCTACTACAGAGCGTTACTGCCTGTCATGGCAACTATTACGGCAGTTGCAGCGGCTAGGGGTGGACAGCGGCGGTCACTGCCTCTCCCGGACGACCCCACCCCTCAGCAGCTTTGCGAGTGGGTTCTGCATACTGCACAGAGGCGGCAACAGAGTCAGCAGGAGACCATCTCCCCGCAGGTGCTTAGTGAGTTGGTTCCTCAGCGATGTGTACCTGGTTCTGTCGAGGCTGCTGCACTAGGTGCTAGCGAGTCTGCTGCCGCACTAGGTGCTAGTGAGTCTGCTGCCACTCCAGGTGCTAGTGAGTCTGCTGCAGCTTTAGGTGCTTGTGCGTCTCCCGCGGTTTTGCCTCAGCTAACGCCTTGCACACTTTCACACTTGACTCAGGCGCGTCACGTTGCTTCTTTCGTGACTGCACCATACTTACACCGCTTGCTGCACCGGTACCAGTCTCACTGGCTGACCCCACTAGGGGCCTAGTAGTTGCACGAGCCTCCACCGTCCTCCCGTGTCCAGCAGTCCCTTCTGGTTCTCTGTCAGGTCTCCGGGTTTAGGGCGGTGCAGGCGAGTTGGACGAGACAAGTTGGCGATGCGTCGGCGTTTCGAGTCTGGGGCGCGCTCTCCCTTGTTCGCGATACCACCGCGAGCAAGCTCTCCCCTCGCACTTTGCGTCTTCCTTGGCTTCCCTACCGACGCCCCGCCGTGGCAGTTCTACCACCCTTGCGCGGGTCGAGTCTTTGCCTCCCAGGACGTCACCTTTGACGAGTCTGTCTGTTACTCCAGGCTAGACGCGCATGCGTCCCACCCGGTCCCCCTCGCGCCTCTCTTCTTGGTACCAGTCCCCCCCCCCCCCAGGGTCTTGCTCCCTCAGGTGTGTCTAAGGTAGACCCACCCCCCTTGGATGAGCCTCTGGAGATCTCTTCTGACTCCTCTCGCCCAGCTGAGGGGGGTGACACGCCGCAGACAACACGGCGGCCACTCGCCGCTCTTTATGCTTGGAGACCCCCCCGGGTTTTCCTCCTCGGCCGTCTTCGCCGCCTCCGCAACCTGCTGCTGTGGAATCTAGAGCTGAGACTATTGGTGCTGAGACTGCTGGTGTTGAGCGTGGGGGTGCTGAGACAAAGGGTGAGGGTTCTAGGGGTGCTGCGCCTGGGGGTGCTGCGACGGGGTGTGCTGGTTCTGGGGGTGCTATGACTGGGGGTTCTGACTCTAGGGGTGCTGCGAGTCCTAGTGGCGGTGGAGCTGTGGGTGACCCTGCTGGAGGTCCTGGAGCTGGACAACCCCCGCAGCTTGATCTACTTGAGACGCTCTCGCCGCAGGCAATTCGTGCGTGGATCGTTCGGCGAGGCAGTCCTGGTGGTGGGGGGTACGGTCCTGCTGGTGCTGGAACTGCTAGTCCTGGAGGTGCAGGAGGTGCTCGAGGTACTGCTAGAGGTACTAGAGGTGCTGCTGGTGCTGGAGGTACTAGAGCTGCTAGTCCTGGAGATACTGGAGGTGCTGCTGGTGCTGGAGGTGCCGGAGCTACTAGTCCTAGAGGTACAGCTGGTGCTGGAGGTGCTGGAGTTGCTGGCACTGGCGGTGCTGGTGTTGCAAGAGCTAGAGGTACTGGAGGTGCTGGAGCTGGTGGTCCTGGAGGTGCTCGTATTGGAGGTGCTGGAGCTGCCGGAGCTGGTGGTGCTGCTGGTGCTGGAGGTACTAGGGGTACTGGAGCTGCTAGCACTGGAGGTGCTGGTGCTACTGGTGCTGGAGCTGCGGGAGCTGCTGGTCCTGGAGGTGCTCGTACTAGAGGTAGTGGAGCTGCCGGAGCTGGTGGTGCTACTCGTGCTGGAGGTGCTACTGGAGATGCTTGCACTGGAGGTGCTATTGCTACTGGTGCAGGAGGCGCTGGAGCTGGAGGTACTGGAGGTGCTGGATCTGCCGGAGCAGGTGGTGTTGCTGGTGCTAGAGGTGCTACTGGAGCTGCTGGCACTGGAGGTGCTAGAGGTACTGCTGGTGCTAGAAGCGCTGGAGCTGGAGGTACTGGAGGTGCTGGAGCTGCTGATCCTGGAGGTGCTCGTACTAGAGGTGCTGGAGCTGCCGGAGCAGGTGGTGCTGCTGGTGCTAGAGGTGCTGGAGGTGCAACTAGAGCTGCTGGTGCTGGAGGTGCTGGAGCTGCTCGTGCTGTAGGCACTATAGCAACTGGTACTGCCCCGCGCCGACTTTTTTCTACCCGCAGCCGCAGTCATCCCTGCTGCCGCCTGACTCTATCCTTCCCAGGTTCTTAGTCTTCTGTCTTCCACTAACCTCACTCCACCTCTCTTGTGTCCACCGACAAACCAGTCTCAGCCACAGCTACTGCCTGGCTCCCCGCTGCCTGCTCTCGCTCCTCACACTGAGGTGACTGAGTCCCTGACTGAGCGTCGTGAGCCTAAGACTCGTGCTTCCACACCTGTTTGTGCTCTTCGTGTCGCCCGTCCTCGTCCTCCTGCTGTCCCAGACACTCACGGTATGGCACTTCATCCTTCCTCTGTTCCACAGCATGTTGTCTTGCCTGAGCCCCCCGCGTCCTCTCTTCTGCACGTTGCTGACCCTGAGTCTGACCTTGCTCGTGCTGCCAGTCCTACTGTCACTCGTCTCCTCGCTATTGTCGTCACTGACCCTGACTTTGAATCTACTGCTGCTTTTGCCCTAGTCATTGAGCTAGTCGACTTTGCAGCTAGGAGTCGTCTCGGCTACGTCGCGGGTCTTGTTCCTGAGTCTGAGTCTGTTTGTCCTTCGTCCATCGGGGGTGAGCCTGCCCTTACCAGTGACGTCCTTGAGGACAGCCAGTTTGAGCTTGAGTATCTTGCGGCCGCTTTACCTCGTTTCGCATCCATGCTACATTGC